CCCCGTAGGTCATCGCTGTATCAAAATGATTTTTAACATTTTTTATAGAGCATCCAACTAATCTTGTTTTTATTTTCTTCAGATCTGTTGGTGGACACAACTCAAAATGGCTAACAACTCAACAACGGCTATAGAAATTGTCACAAAGTCTGACACGTTCGTCGCTGCGGCAGTGTTTGTCTCTAACGAGGCTTCCTACTACATCGAGGTCACACTTGATCTTGTCCTGGTCACCATTCTCGCTTTCGTCGGCATCGGTACCAACATCATTGACATCGTCGTCTTCGGCCGTCAAGGGTTCAGAGACAGTGTAAACATCAGCCTCTCGGCGATAGCGACCATGGACTTGATTAAATGCGTAACGGGGGCAGCGGCGAGGATGAACGGAATCCTAGGGTTGTTCTCAACTGCGCTGGCCGTGACGTGGAAAAACATCTGTACCCCCACCTTGCTCTATCTTCAGATCTTTGTCGGCTACGTGTCCTACGTCATGGCAGCCTACGTGGCTGTAGAGAGGTGTCTGTGTGTGAGTATGCCGTTCAAGGTCAAGTCCCTTATCACCCCGAAACTGACCTTCTGCATGATGGTGATGATCACTGTCGTTGTCATGGGATCGTTCTCTGTCGTCTTCTTTATCTACCGCATCGACTGGGTGTACAGCGACAAATACGGCCAAACCATTGCTATCTATGGCTACAGCGACTTCTACGATCGCCACAACTTTGGCGTCATGTGGTATTACAATCTCATCGGCGTGATCAATCCAATCCTAAGCTTCACAGTGATGGTAGTTTGCACGGTTATAATTTTCTACCATCTCAGAAAAGCCTCAAAGTTTAGACAGCAAAGCCAACAGGGAGGTCAAGAGAGTGGCAAAGGTGGAAGCGGAGACCAAGGAATGTCTTCACGAGACAGACAAGTTATCAAAATGCTGCTTGTGGTGATCATCATTTACATCATAAATTTTGTTCCGCGAATCTCAATGTATGTTGCAAAGTTATTCGTTAAAGAGTATTACTTCCTGAAAAGATATCACAATATTTTCATGCTGTCCACGTATACGCTGTTTGTCATTGACTTCTTGAACGCTTCCATGAACTTGTTCATTTACCTCACAATGAGCAGCAATTTCAGGGCTACCTTCTTCTCCCTGTTCATTGCTCGCAAGAAGGTGTAAGTCTTCACCTGTGTTCTGGGCATGGCAATACTAGTCTTGTCAAAACACGGAGAAGAAGAACGGAACTTCACTGAAACATCTGGAGATAAACAGATAATAAGACAAGCGTGCACCATTCTCTGGTATTTTTTTGCTGTTTTAAATATTATTCAAATATTTCCCCCCTTCCCCCCTTTTGCGACTTACTCCCATCATAGCCTCTGTCCTTTCCCTTAAATCACGCACAAAATTACGAACATACTATTCAACGCTCACGAGACTAAAATGGAAATAAAAGCCATGACATACTTGTTTTTCTTTTTTACTTGAATCTTTTGCCCCGCATTACTCACGGTCTCTCTGTCTCTAGTGTATCTTTTTGCACCCTGCCCCCCCCCCCCTTTCCAGCCTCCTCCCTCCGGAATTCTATTGCTTTAAAATCTTCAGTAGAATTAGTATTAGCACGTGTTTCTTACATGCATTTTCTTGTCCTGCTGTTATCGACATTTACAATCAAAACCGATGGAACACTATTCAATGTATACTCTGTTAATTGGAAATAAACCTCTGTATGTACACATCTAGTGCCTCACGCTTTCAAGTCAATGACGGTAGAATTTTCATAATAATTTACGAAAAGATGAAAGATGGTTTTGTGGTATTTGTAAATGGGGAAAATCTGTAGTGGTATACACTTGAAACTAAGCGAAGACGAAAGACACCGGCAACAACTGGTGATGGTAGCGTAGTGCACACCATGTTGTTTGGATGTCGCTTCGCTCTGTTGTCCCTATTTGTTTCGCATCGGTGTCGTTTCGTTTTGGCTACTTGGATTTCTTGTTTGACGGATATCACTCAGGGCTGTCACTGTGACGTGCAGCGCGGTGGTCGGGACGTCTGACATGGTAGCGTCTCCCTTCAAACAGACAGCTGTGACGTCACGTTAAGACGGCGACGGTACGTGAAGTGACCACAGTACAAGCTTAGTTATCAATTACACCTGGTGCTTACTGACTGTTTAATTCATTTGATCCAGTTAGGGTCGGCCGGATTTTTCTTCATGGAGGGAAAAAACTACCATTTTGGCACAATACAACCGATTTGACTCGTGTTTTTGAAATGCAAACATATTTGATTTTGAAGGTCACATTCGAAATTAGTTGAACTCAATAGTATCGTGCCAAAATTTTAGTTTTTGTCCCATCATGAAGGAACAGGTTTGGCTGGTATGGACGGACTCAAATTAATCAAATAGACAGTGTGCACTCGGTATTAAAAACCTGGATAGAGGGAATAGCGGTTTTCATGATTCAGGCTATGGCGTTCGTGTTTGGGAAATGAAGAAGAACGCTTGGTCTGGATAGACGTGGTCGAAGAATTCACACTCAAATCACATTTTACCCCCCCCCCCCAGAGGTAATGAAGTACTATAACTATTTAGTGGTAAGGTGATAGAAAATGGGAGGAAGATGGGAGAGGGTCCATTGTTTCTTTTTCTTTATTAGTTTTACTATCTTGCAGACACAACGGCTATTTCGTAGACGGCAGTTTCTGTTAAGTAGGTGTTTTACGAGCCACATGGACACAGTTTAGATAATTGACGTAGAAGTCAGGCTTCGGCCCTGCTTATCAGGGTCACCCCAGGCTAAGAAGGATACAACGTCCCGGCAGCGGTAAAAATGTTCCCCACACAGGAATCGAACTCAGATTTTCTGCGTGCAACAGCGAAGCACCTAACCGCTACACCATAGATACCAGCGCGGACAGATTCCACGATGGTTAAAGCAAAGAAGGAGTGAGAAGAAAGAAACAAGACAGAGGTGACAGAGGTAAATCTGTAGAAATAAATATTTGGACATCCTGCTGCTGTGCAGCGGGCCTGTTTGTTCCTTCCCGTTGACAATGAGGAACCGAGACAGACAGACAGACAGACAGACAGACAGACAGACAGACAGACAGACAGACAGACAGACAGACAGACAGACATACCCAT